AGATGTGCGGTTTTTTACCTTCCTGTTTTTGTTCTTTAACCAAATTGCCACCTTTCAGCTGGCTTCTTCTTCCTTCCCCCGTATATTTGAATTCTCGCGGCAAAACGTTGTCCTCTTGGCTCCACTGTGTGTGCTAGACTCATTTGTTTGGCTTTTTGCATAGGTGATTTGGCGCATGTACCAAACGGGATCGAAAAACCCGTATATTTCCTAACCATTCCAGAATACTGATTTTTTCGATGTTGTCTAGGACGTTGCAGTGTCATAAAATCCCGCGTCTTTAGTTTACCTAATTTACACATTTTTATGCATTGCTAAGGGCTTTTGCATTTTCATGGAGGTGCAAAAACGCATACTCTAGTGAACCATGGCGTGTGTGTACATCTGTGTGTCTATGTATGCGTGCGTACGCATGTGCGTGTGTGTGCGCATACGTCTATTCGATACTGAACTCCACAGCCAGGCAAGCTTTGGTGTTGATATTTTGCCAGTGGTTTCCCTGACCAGACCTTATCTCAGGCACCAACTTTCACGCACGTCTGATCCCCACGTATGGGCACGTTGGTAACCTTGGAACCAGGAAAGCTGGAAGCTAAAATTTTGAGGGACTGTCCCCTGAGCCTGGAAGATTTCAAACCTGCTTAGGTACGGGCACGTGAAATTTTTCGCAAAAAAATTGCTAAATGGGGAGCCAAAAAAGCTGGAAGGCTAAAATTTTAAGAGGATGTTCCCTCTCCAAAGGCAGATTAAATATGTCAAATTCAGCTCCTAAGCATGCTTGGTTTTCGCGTGCGACACTTGAAATTTTTGACAGGAAAGCTGCTAACTTGGGAAATAGGTAAAATGGGCAGCTGAAATTTTGGAAAGATATTTTTAGTCTGCGTACGGTTTAAAGATTTCAAATTCAGTGCGTCTGACCCTCACACACAAACACATGAAATTTTTGGTAGGGCTCATTTTCAATGAGAAACCGGTTACCGGAAATAATTCACTTTCCCTTGTGCAAATTCTATGGTAATTTGTCTTAATAAGTGCGCAAGTTAGATATAAAACAACAACTACTCAGAAATTTAGCGACCAATTTGCCTCAAATCTAGGGTAAAAACGCTTGTTCGAAGCGGCAAATCTAGTGTGTCGCAACCTAGGTTGCATCACTGACAAAAAGCAAAGATGCATTTTGTGGGCAGGCTGCATATATACATATATATATGTATAGAGATTTTGCACAAGCAGTGAATATTCGTATTCGCGGCTGCCTGCTAGGCAAAACTACACAAAAAGGGATGGTCGCACTTGCTACCTTGGTGCGTGCCGCTGTTTATTAAATTTAGCTTTCACATACGCGTACGTCTCGCGTACGAGTACGTCAAAGATATTTTGATAGTAAATGATTCCTGTAACTACTCATACTGGAAAGCAGAAATTGTGTGGTTATGTTCGGTACCTATGCGGAACTCAAGAAATTCAAATTCAGCTTTGAGGCATGCTTGCTTCTCATGTACACACAAGTGAAAGTAGATGTGACACTGTCGGCACCGTTCTAATTCGGGAAGCAGATGGAGTGGAAAGCTGTGATTTTGAGAGCATGCTAGACCTCTATACGTGTGCGCGCAAGCCTAAATATAAGTTTCCGCGTACATCTGTTTCTTGCGTGTACGCGTGTTGAATTTTCAATTGTCGCGTTTGCTAAAGTACAAAAAAACTGAAAATTCACGAAGACTTACAGTGTCACACTCTCAACTCGGGTGATGAATCATTTCTTTCACATGAAAGGAAATGCCAGTAAGGATATTTCCAGTATGAGTACATGTACCAGACTGCGAAGTAATGAACGTTTTTGCAGTTAAAGGACTTATTACTGCAAGAAAACGTGCGGAAACGCATAATCGCATCAGCAATTTTGGTGCG